GGGGGGGGGGGGGGGGGGGGGGGGGGGGGGGGGGGGGGGGGGGGGGCGGGGAGAGTATTTGAACACTGGTGCGGTCAGACTAGTGTTATCTTTTTGAATTCTGACCTTTGTGATGACTCCTTCTTGCGCACGGTCAACGACAACAAAGAGAGAGAGTTTTTCTGTCGCAGCCGAGAATTTCTGCACAGATGTGGGATCCGCGTACCTTTTTAGCGTTTGCACAGATAGCTCCCGCAGTAGCGGCGTTTACAGTACGAGCGCAGCAGCAGCGGCAGCGGAAATGGCAGCCCTTGGTGGCAAACGTTTCCTACCGTTTTGTTCGCCATCGGGCAATTTTTCAGCCTGACGGAGGGCGCAAAGAGTCTCTACCCGGTGCTGTCTTGGCCCTCAGCGCTGTAACAATCTTGTCGCTGCATACATGTAGTCGGTGAAGACTTGTTTAGGCTCGAACCGACGCTCATCCATGCTTTCAAACTCTTCTTGCTCTCGTTTGCTTTGTGGGAATTTCTTTTTTTTTGTGAATGTGTCGGTGCCGGTGCCGGTGCCGGAACAGGCACGCCGTCCAACTCGATGCGCTGGCGGCGGGGCATCGCTGTCTCGCTCGCGCGCGGGAGCAGCTGTCCCTCCTGGACGACACACCGCCGCGGCCGGCGGCGGTGCGGGTGATGACGGCGGATGCCGTGGCCCTCGCACGCCAGGTGAAGTTCTGGTTCCAATTAGTTATCCCCACGTAAAGGGAATCACTTGGGGCGATGCCCTACCGCCTCTTTGCGGAGAGAGGGTGCTTGCTCTTGATAGTGAGGGTTTTGTAGCGCTGCCGTGAGAGCAGGGCGTGATGGTGGTCCTCGCTTGTCCGCAGGACATCCGGGTGCCAACCATGGCGTTTTGGTCCTTTTTGCATGGCGGTGGTGCGTGTTGTCGCGTATTGTTCGGATAGATTATTCCCCAACTGACGTTGAGCCCCAGAAACGGAAATGTACCACCGAAGGAACCTCATGTACGCGGCCGAAAAATCTCTCTGCGGACGTTCTTGCTGTCGTCCGACCGCTCTTGGATGATTTTTGCTGCTTCTTGTCGAGATGCTCACACCCCCCCCCCCCCCCCCC